TCGATCTCTTCAATTTTATTTCTCTCAAGCTTTTTTTAAAAAATTCTTTTTTAAAGAGACAGGGTCTTGCTCTGTCAACCAGGTTAGAGTGCAGTGGCACAATCAAAACTCACAGAAGCTTGGAACTTCTGGGTTCAAGTGATCCTCCCACTTCCACCTCAGGAGTAGCTGGGACTCCAGTCACACACCACACCTGGATCTTGCTTGATTGCCCAGGCCAGTCTTGAACTCTTGGACTCAAGCGATCCTCCTGTCTCTTAGGTTTTTATTACTAACCTTCTGGACTATAATAACTCTCTTGGTTATTAGTCTCTCCCTAGTCTAATCTACCTTGTACAATTCTATCATTTTATTCTTATCATTTAGATCATAACTAAATCTTGCTTATAAACCCTACACTGCCCACTGCCAAGTCCTTTATTTTGGCATTTAAGATTCTCTACAATTTGCTCCTGACCTACCTTTTCAGTAGTATGTTTTCATCCACATATTCACTCATTTGACATATACTTACAAAGTGCTTACTAAGGACATTGAGGAGTTGAAGATACTATAAGGTGGTAAAGGAGCTTATGTTCTGCCCCAAGCAGACAGCGCTGAGAAGTTAAAGAAATTGGGTGTAGCCCCTTCTATGAATTCTATTTTGTTTGAGATGGAATCTCACTCCGTCGCCCAGGCTGGAGTACAGTGGCACAATCTTGGCTCACTGCAGCCTCTGCCTCCCAAGTTCAAGCAATTCTCCTGCCTCTGCCTCCAGAGCAGCTGAAATTACAGGCGCATGCCACCACACCCAGCTAATTTTTGTATTTTTAGTAGAAATGGGGTTTCACCATGTTGGCCAGGCTGGTCTTGAACTCCTGACCTCAAGTGATCTACCTGCCTCCGCTTCCCAAACTGCTGGGATTACAGGTGTGAGCCACTGCACCAGCTCCTTCTATGAATTCTAAGAACCAGTCTTCCCTTATAGTCTTTAGTAAGGGAAAGAGAATATGTATAAAGATAATGCCAATCAATACAAGAAAGAAAATAAGTGCAATAAGACAGCAAGGTAATATGGGAGTTTAGATGTTAACTCTAATGGGGGGTGTTCAGGATGTCTTAGAAGAGGTGGCATTTGATTAGGTCTTGCAAAGAGGGCAGAGCTTCAATATGTAAGAAGAGGAAGGTCACTGTAAAAAATGAGCAAAGGAATAGAGATAAGAATGTATGGGAAACAAGTCTGATTTCCACACAGTGTATGTACAATAGACTAATAAAAGGTAAAGCTGAAAAGGGAGGATTAGGCTAAATCCAGACACTTAATGAATGCTTGGCCAAGGTTTGAACTTACCTGATATTTACTCCTTTGACAAGTATTTACCGACTGTCTACAATAGGCCAGATGGCAGGTTAAACGCTAGGGATACCAAGACAGACGTGGTCCTGGTCCTCTTGGAGCTTAGAGTCTACCATAAAAGCAGTAAGAATTCACTGAAGATGAAGAACACAGGACTGCCATCATCAAGGTGCTACTTAAGATTAAGATTACTCTGGCATCAATGTGTGAGATTAACTGCACGGTAGAAGAATAAAAAAACAAAACAAGGCCACTTATTACAGTAAGTTTAGAAAGGAATGAGGCCTAAGACAGTGGCAGTGGTAATGGAGGAGCTAAAGGCTTGAAAGATATTAAGAAGGAAGACCATCAAGCTTAATATTTGTGCAGAAATAGTTGGAAGGGAACAGGGAAGGGGGAAATGTAAAAGTGAACCATGAGACTGGAAAAAATCCAAACAGTTGTCAGCTCTGGGATTGGGGATGGATTGGAGAGGGGTATGAGAGAGTTCTCTGGGATGATGGTTATGTCTGTATCTTGATAGAGGCTTCACCACACAGGTGAGTACATCTATCAAAACTCATTATATACTCAATGTCTATGCATTTCACCATATGTAAATTTTATCTTTATGTTTTTTTTTTTTTGAGACGGAGTCTTGCTCTGTCGCCCAAGCTGGAGTGCAGTGGCGCGATCCTGGCTCACTGCAAGCTCCGCCTCCTGGGTTCACGCCATTCTCCTGCCCCAGCCTCCCGAGTAGCTGGGACTACAGGCGCCCGCCACTGCGCCCGGCTCATTTTTTGTATTTTTAGTAGAGACGGGGTTTCACCGTGGTCTCGATCTCCTGACCTTGTGATCCGCCCGCCTCGGCCTCCCAAAGTGCTGGGATTACAGGCGTGAGCCACCGCGCCCGGCCAGCTTTATGTTTTTGAGACCGAGTCTCGCGCTGTCGCCCAGGCTGGAGTGCAGTGGCGTGATCTTGGCTCACTGCAGCACCTGCCTCCCGGGTTCAAGCTATTCTCCTGCCTCAGCCTCCCTATATGTAAATTTCATATTTACAAATTCCTGAAAACAAATATTAAACTCAGGTTAATGATATGTAAGCTGAAGTGTTTAGGGGTGAAGTGTATGTTACCTGCAATTCACTTTGAAATACATTAAGAAAGATAACATGGACTGGTGGATGAAAAGATGGGCAGATATATGATAAAGCAAAAAGAAAATATTAACTGTAAACTCCTGGTGGAGAATATGCAGTTTTCATTATACAATTCAATCCTTTTTGTTTGAAAAATTTCATAATAAAATGTTGAGAAAAGCGATAAGCATTCAGTTTTGAGTTTGGGTTGACTGGTGGGATACTGGCAATACAGAAGATGTAGGCAGGTTATGTCCATTAGTGACATAAGTAAGGGTTTGAGGTACCCAAGGCATTCGAGTAGAAATATTTACCAGGCAGCTGGAATTGCATAGGTAGAGTTATTTTACTCTGCTGCTTCCTGAACATCTCTCTGCCTCCATGTGTCCACTTCCACTGAAACCTTTTCCTTCTTCAAGCTTTCCCTGACTACCCTGTGCTCCGACATTCAGCATTGGATGATTAGTTCATGGCATTATCACGTCACTAGACTGGAAATTCTTAGGATAAACAGAATCTTATAAAGAACACATAGTGTTTATTTCATAAAGCAATTTTCAAATAAACAACTGAATAACACCTGACTTAGTATTGGAATATCCAGGTCTTTATGTTCACACTGATTCCTGGCTCAGTCGTAGAGTCCTGTTTTTTCTGAGACAGATATAAACAGATACGTGTATATATATATATATATATGTATATACATACCAATAGATATAAACAGATATAGATCTATAGAGAGACATAAACAGATAGATATAAACAGACTTTCTTAAAAGGCAACCTTTACAGCAGAGAATTCCCATTCCCAGATTCTTTTTTTTGAGACAGGGAGTCTCACTCTGTTGTCCAGGCTGGAGTTGCAGTGGCAAGATTATAGCTCACTGTAGCCTCCACCTCTCGGGCTTAAACAATCCTCTCACCTCAATCTCCTGAGTAGCTGGGACTATACATGTGCACCCCCACACCAGGCTAATTTTTGTATTTTTTTTTGTAGAGACTGGGTTTCGCTATGTTGCCCAGGCTGGTCCCGAACTCTTGGGCTCAAGTGATCCACCTGCCTCAGCCTCCCAAAGTGCTGGGATTACAGGCGTGAGCCACCACATCCAGCCCCAGATTCTTAATACATTTGATTTTCTCATTCTTAGTAGCTTTTCTTCCAGATTTTATTTCACATTGCATTTTGCAGAACTATAAATAAAAAAAGAAACCTTTAATGACATAGTTACGAGACCCTAAAGTTCACTGCTAGAAATTGTTGAATTGTGAGGAAAGAAATCAAACCAAGGTGACTGATTTATCATTCCTATCTCTCTAATCAGCAGTGAGCTCCCTAAAGTCAACTATGTCCTGCTTGTTTTTTTACTTCCTGGTACTATCTACAGCATTGAGCTTGGCATACACTAAGCACTCAGACAGTAAAAGAACATACATTCGACACTGAAAAGAATACCAGAAAGTAGCCAACACCAGCTGGTGGAAAGTCATTAGCTATTCTGTTAACTTGATTGCTCAGTGTTCTACCAATTTTGATAGTCTATTTTTCTTTTCTTTTTTTTTTTTTTTTTTGAGACAGAGTCTTGCTCTGTCGCCCAGGCTGGGGTGCAGTGGCCGGATCTCAGCTCACTGCAAGCTCCGCCTCCCGGGTTTAGACCATTCTCCTGCCTCAGCCTCCCGAGTAGCTGGGACTACAGGCGCCCGCCACCTCGCCCGGCTAGTTTTTTGTATTTTTTAGTAGAGACGGGGTTTCACCGTGTTAGCCAGGATGGTCTCGATGTCCTGACCTTGTGATCTGCCTCTCTCGGCCTCCCAAAGTGCTGGGATTACAGGCTTGAGCGTCCGGCCGATAGTCTATTTTTCAAAATGAACTCAAAGAACACCTTTTGACATCTCCCAACTGCCCTAAGCAGACAGTGATGCTAAGTGAAAGAAACTGGGTTTAGCTCCTTCTATGAATTCTAAGAACTAGTTGGAATAAGCCACAGTGTAACTAAACCTATTCCTGGCACAATGGGAGAGTAACTCTATTAAGAAACCCTAGGCCGGGCATGGTGGCTCATGCCTGTAATCCTAGCACTTTGGGAGGTGGAGGTGGGTGGATCACTTGAGGTCAGGAGTTTGAGACCAGCCTGGCCAACATGGTGAAACCTCGTCTCTACTAAGAATACGAAAAAAAAAAAAAAATTAGTCGGGTGTGGTGGTGGGTGCCTGTAATTTCAGCCACTTGGGAGGGTGAGGCGTGAACCTGGGAGGAGGAGGTTGCAGTGAGCCCAGATTGCACCACTGCACTCCAGCCTGGGCGACAGAGCAAGATTCCATCTCAAAAAAAATAAATAAATAAAAGAAAAAGAAGATTGCTCCTATTTTTGTATCAGACGGACTGGGCCACTGGTAATATTTTATACTTTATATCATTCCAACATATCCCCCAAATGTGCTTAATTCCCAATGGTTTACCTCAACTACTTAACTTAAAAGTCCATTGACTATCCAGGAAGAACCTGCTTCATCTCTTATCCCCACCACACTTAAAAGATGCTTTACCTTTTCTCCTCTCTCTCTCTCTCTGTCCTTCTCTTCTTTTTTCTTTTTTTTCTCACTATGCCCATCTGTGTGGAGGCCAGGAAGTGGCGGGGGAGGTGCTGCTGCTCCAGCGTAAGGGATGCTGGGAGGAGGGCCAGATGTCACTGTGACCTCTCCCACTGGCAGAGCAGAAAGTCCTGAACTTCTCTTGGATTTGGAGTGTCGCTTCTCTTTATGCTTCTCCTTGTCTTTCTTCTTTTTGCTCTTCTTTGACTTCTTTTTCTTCTTGATTTCCCGGTAAGAATCATCTATCACTAACTCCCCAGCCTCTAGTTCCCCACCAGAGGATGAGTCTGATTCTACCAGAATAGGTTCAAGCCCTGAAAGATCAAGGTTACCACTGTGGGACTCTGGGAACTGGGAGGCATCAGACCCACAGCCTTCAGGGCCAGGAGATGAATGTGGGTCTGAGGATGACTTGTGCTTTTTCCGGGCTGTTTTCAGAAAGCTCTGTAACTCATGTCCTAGGAGTAAAGCACCCTGCTCATCCCGAGCTGATTTCTTTGAGGATTTTTTCACAGTTGCTTGTTGAGAGGGATACTGAAAAGACTCCTCATCAACAGAGCTGCTTCCCTTCTCCTTTGGTGAGAGAATAAGTTTCATTTTCAAACCATCAGGCTCCCGAAGGGTCAGTGTTTCTGTGTTCACATACAGAGGTTTCATTTTTTTGGATTTGTGGGAGGCACCATCCTCCAGGGGTAGTTCCCCACTGCTTCCACTGACTTTCTTCCTGTGGTGCTCCTTTTTACTCTCCGAATGGCTTGAAGAGCCAGAGGATTTCTCCCCCGTCTTTTTGGAGGGCTTGGAGCCTGCTGCCAGTGGGGAAGTGATAGCTTTCAACAGGTCCATAGCTGTATCGGTAGACTGTGGGCTGGACTTTTTCTTTTTCTTCTGTGACGATTCCAAAGACGAAATGTCTAGAAATAATCAGGAGAAGTACTGTCAATATGATGGGAAGCAACTTCTAACAAGCTTCCTCTCTCATCAAAAGCACCTAGCTAACATGAGAAAGAGGCTAACAGGAATGATCTGAAGGGAGACCCTTTAACTGATTCCTAACATTAAGAAATGATGCCCTCGTGCTTCTTGGCTTGGTGGATTCTGCCTCTGACCCTGGATATAGTTCTTGCCACTAAAGTTGTTTCTCTTCATTGAGTCTTCAGAAGCAACCAAAGAGCACATACCCAGAAGAATTGACTATAGTTGTGGGATTGTGGGAAGTTAACAATTCAGAGTGCAGACAGAGTATCATTTGTTTCTGTGTTCAGGACAAACCCATTCTGGGAAAAGTTGAGTCTCGTCAGCTACGTGCATAACACAGCTAAGAAAACTGGTTCTGTGAGTGGATATACACTTGTTGAGAAGTGACCCACAGGTGCAGGCCAGAGGACTACATATGGCAAAAGGGATGCTAGATAACAATGGGCACAAGATAAGTGGATGATTGGGGGGAGAAGGAACCTGGTACCTGGTGTATCACAAATGCAGACTGTTCTTCTATGCTGAATCCTCCAAAATACCAGCCCTCCACCTCTCTCCTCCTTCACACTGGTTTATCGGCACTCAGAACAAGAACCACTGTCCTGTTAAATAGGCCACTGAGTCAGCAACATCTGGATCCCTTTCCCCTACCCCGACTCCAAGAACCAGCGATGTGTTTATCCCACCTGTTGCCCATTCCCATCCTCACCTCCATAGTAGTAATCATCAGAGGAGTGCTTCCTCTTCTTCTTGTGTGTGTCCGTCCCCAAGAAGTAAAGTTCGCTATCCTATAATTAAAGAAGAAGAATTGACCAATAATAAGATGATGAGGCAAATGCAGTTTGGAACCACTCTTGTCTTTGATGATTTCTGACTTTGGGAAACAAAGCACAAGAAATAATAAAAACAGATGCGCACAACATTTTATTTTTCTTTTCTAAAGTTATTAAAAAACACTTCCTTCTTCAAATATTAGGAAATATGGTAAGAAGTAGTTTAAGACTTTCCTGGTGCAGTGGCTCAGGCCTGTAATCCTAGCACTTTGGGAGGCTGAGGCAGGTGGATCATTTGAGGTCAGGAGTTTGAGACCTGCCTGGCCAACATGGTGAAACCCTGTCTCTAACAAAATACAAAAATTGGCCGGGCTTGGTGGCAGGAACCTGTTAATCCCAGCGACTCGGGAGGCTGAGGCAAGAGAATCGCTTGAACCCGGAAGGTGGAGGTTGCAGTGAGCAGAGATCACGCCACTGCACTCCAGCCTGGGCCACAAGAGCAAAAAAAACCTCTGCATCAGAAGAAAAAAAAAAAAAAAAAGTAGTTTAAGACTTTCCTAATTTAAATTTTTAGGACTTACCTTCAACTTCTTCTTGGAAGAATTCCTGACCTGAGCAGCAATTTCTTCCTCTTCCCTTAAAAAATCTTTGTAAGAACGTTTTTTCTCTCGTTGGCTTCGGCCAGCTGCAAGTCCTATGTCCTCAAAGGTATGATCACCATCAAAACAATCTGAGAAGCACAGGTTTATTTGGGAAAGGAAATGAGAAAGTCAAGTAAGTAACGACCAAATCACCATGCAGGTAATGCAACAGTTCCTCTATTTCCAAATTAAAACAATGTTTCAATCAAGTCCACTGAAATACAGGGCTAGACCCAGGGGAACAGAATATTTCTTGATGACCTGGCTGCAAATACAAGAATCAAACCTGAAGAAACAATGTTTCCACGCTATGCAAAGGCCCCATGTGCGACCTCAGATATGATTTCTTAGTTGTGATTTGGTAGGTGGACACAGACTTGCAGACGAAAGGCTGAAAAGAATAAGGATTCATGATTCATGTGCTGTGCTGCTCTCTGTGGGAGTCCAGGATGTGATTCCTATCCCCAGACTCCTGCACACTGGAGCTGGCAAGGACCAAGAGTGCTGCAGGGGATCACCCCAATAAACTAAGAGACTCATATTTCAGACTCTCGTGTTGGAACCCCTGTCCTGGTTTTCGTTTCCATGGGCCCAGTCTGGGGATGGCGTGGAGGCTGAGTGTCTTAACAGTGCTCTAGACCATCACTTGGGAGTCCAGGCTGTGGTGCCCAGTCCTGGTCTCTATATCCATGGGCTGCAAGGATTGAAGAGGATACCCCCTTTGGAATGCTTCTCAGATTATGGGGTCATACCTTCTTTCTTCACGGAGTCATCATAAGCCATGGTGGTCCTGCAGGGCCTTTGAGAATGTGTCACTGTGTCCAGGCTCCTTCCCGTCTACAGGACCAGGTCTGAGAAACAAAGAAGGAAAACCCTCCTGTAATGCGAAATCAGAGGAGAAGCAACCTTCCAGATGGAAATGTGTAGTGATCCAAGGGCCGACTGGAAGGGCAGCAAGAAATAAAGGAGTGTCTTGTCACCTCCTCATTCTCTTTGTAAATATAGTGGGGTTGATACTGCAGGAAGTACACTAGGCTTAATTAGATTTCAGTCATGAATTAAAGTTGTCATTTGGGGAAGTATATAAAATACCTCCAATACAAAAAATATTTTCAAAATTAATGAGAATTTCTGAAATGCCAACAGGACTGACAACACTGAGACAGGGTAGAAACCAACATTAAGTTAGAGGGATAGGTTCAATCTTGGTTATAAAATACACAGGTAAAGCAAGACGCAGAGAAGACAGATCACACCAAACATTTGAAGACCATAAAATCCTACCAACTGGATTGGTGAACTGGTAACATCTATTGCATTGTAATTTAAACAGAAATGATTAACTGTATAGGAATATTAAATATCTTTAGAGCATAATTTCTTTTGCATTTTGGGGGGGGTTACATGAATTTGTTCAAATTTATGTAATTGTAAAAGCAGGTACACTCCTTACATCAGTTGACCATGTGACAGCTGTCACCACCACCAAGGCTTTCTTAAAGGCTAGGTGAAAATAGGGAGATATTTATCATTTGTCCACTGGTCATAAAACTTTTATGATTAATAAGATCTTCACTAATAAGAATTGCTATAATTTAAATGTTCTAGATATTGTATTGAGTTTTATTGAATTTTTACAATCTTTTTTTGGCATTTGAGTTTATATGTCCATTTTGACTTTGACGATAACAATGCTATAAAATGCACTGTAAGTTTTTTTTTTTTTCTTTTTCTTTTTTTTTGAGACAGTCTTGCTCTGTTGCCCAGGCTGGAGTGCAGTGGCAGTTTCGGCACACTGCAACTTCTGCCTCCCAGGTTCAAGTGATTCTCCTGCCTCAGCCTCCCCAGTAGCTGGGATTACAAGCACCTGCCACCACGCCCAGCCAATTTATGTATTTTTAGTAGAGATGGGGGTTTCACCATCTTGGCCAGGCTGGTCTTGAACTCTTGACCTCATGATCCACCCGCCTCAGCCTCCCAAAGTGCTGGGATTACAGGTGTGAGCCATCGCGCCCAGCCAAGGTAAAGTTCTTTAAAAGTTTTAAGAACAAGTAATGTCACAAGTCCTTCAGGAAATTTAAAATTACATATTAAATATTTTGGCAATGTTCTCATCCAATTAAGTCAGATGCTTACAAAGTTAATCTAATTGATCATTTATTTAAATTTAATTTGACCTTCATTATTATAAGGGGATTTAGAAATACTGAAGGACACTTAAATGACACATTACTAATTCCTTCAGGCAACTGTGGACAATACTGAAGCATGGAACTTTTGTGAAAGAAAAGATGAATTTGATTAACAAGGGAAGCTTTCATAAGTTACATTAAAAAGACTTATTTGCACAAATCAGATAAAATACAATGTACAGGTAGGCCTGAATAGGAAAATGAAGCATTACGAAGAATGATTTATAAGAAAAGAAACATAAAGCATTTCTTCACTTCTCTGAGAAGTGAAATAAAGAATGGATTTGGTCAAAGTAACAGAAGCTAGAGTAATGAAACTACATTAACTGGATTGTTTTAAAGATAAACTGGAGAACTGCCTGTTCGAAGGGCCTTTTCACAGGAAACGAAGGGGACATAAGGTCAGGCCTCAGATAAAAATGTGAGGAGGCAAGATACATAATGTAGCCAGTTTTTCATGTTCCAGCATTTAAGGATGAAAGTTTCTCAGTGGAAACTACTGTCCTCCCCTTTCCACCCAAGTGGTGCTGACTCCAAAAGGGGCGCAGGTAGGACAAGGGAAATATAGGGAATTATATCCATTTATTTGAAAACAGCATACCCTCTCAAAGGCACTAAAATACTGAGTGTATAAGAAAAATATACAGATTATATTGGTTTTCATAGGCTGATAACGCCAAGAACCACTGGAGACCTCAAATTAAACACTTTCTGTGCATGAATTTTCATGCATGAATTTTGGCAAAGAATATTTAAGAAATAATGGCAAAAAACTTAAATATTCCATGTCATACATACAGTCATCAATGTTTTGTCAACAACAAAATGCACTTGTAAATATAAGCAGAGGCTGGTCCTGAGACTTACAAACAGGCCTTCCCTTTGGTAACATCAAAATCAACATAAAACAGAGTTGGGCAACTTAACAGAACAGAAATAAGTACCTCTGAAACCAGAAAGAAAGAAGATGACTGTATCGTGGTCTTGTTACTGGCTGCTTTAAAAAACTTGTGGATTAAAAAGTTGTGTGAAAGGGAATAGAAAATTAGGAACTGCTTCTCAGAGGCACAGGCCAACACAGAAAATGTGTTAGCATTACATATTAGATTAGGTCTGCCACTGTTTACATTTTCTTTAAAACACCGAAGAGCACTTTATAATTTACTGGATTAAATAACCTGAAGAAAAAAAAGGAATGAGGCCTGAAGACAAGTCCAATTCACTAAAGAACTGGGGCAGCCAAGAGGTTGGAAAACTAAAATTAAACACAACGGACTGTTATCACTCACAGCTTGGGCAGATCATGGGCCTTGAATTTCTACATTCTTTAAAATCAGGATATTATTGCAGCTCAGGGTTTAGTTTTGGTTGCTGACTCATAGAAGAAAGATACCAGATAAATCTCAAGCAACAGTGTGAAAGAAAGGCAGAGTTCAGGCAACATTTATATAAGATCAGACGAACCCCTGGTATTCCTTCCAGGTCTTGAATACGATCTGTGAAAATTCAGAGTCCAGGGGTAGAGAGTAGATTGTGAGGATTAAAGAAAATGAAAAATACTAGGTTTGATTTTCACATTAGAAAAGGGAGGTCATAATTACATTACATGTTGGCAAATGTGAAACAGGTGTTAACCCATTCTCACGTCAATAATTTGGGAGTTTATAAAATTCAATGTTGTCAACTCCCAAGAGGCAGGAATAATTTTGTTTGTCTCAGTGTGCCAAGATATGACAACGTAAGTTCATTATTTCATACTGCTGATACAAGTAAAAAACTGGTACCATAAAAATGTATACTTATGAAATGCACAAATTGTTAAATAGCTCTTCGGGGACTTTTCTTTAGGATATGAAAAGGAGGCGGCAGAGTTGCTCTTTCTCTTGTAGACAAGTATACAAGTTATGTTCAGGCATAGGCCTTTGGGATGACCAAAGTATTTAGGAGGGAAAAAATCCTCACATATAGTACTTTGTTATTTCGCAACTTCAAATTATACTAAAAAAAAGGTTTCAGATGTTTGTTTTTTTGAGGTAACTTGAGCTCCCGCAATCAACAAGCTTCTTCACCCCATAATGTAAATGAGCATTGAAAAAAAGGAAACAAAGTGAGTCCCGCAAACCGGCAGTAAGAGAAATTCTGAAATCCAGGTCTGTTCCAGGATGAGAGCCAGGTCCAAGATTCTGCGTTCTCTTCTTCCAACACTCCTTTCAATAACTCAAAATGCCAGTCAGTGCAGGGAAAGGAAGAGGCACATCCGCCGGTTGGCAATTTCGGAAATTTTCTTGTTACTTCTAGGATACAGGCAAGTGATGCCTTCTCATCTTCGTCCAGGTTTCCTCCAATCTCCGAACGCAGTGACTACGAATCCTCTTGCCACTCCCTTCTCCAGGGACCTACCTAGGCAGCACTCCCAGCCCCTGCCAGCTCTGGAAGCTGCAGAGATCCCGACAGCCTGGGATGGGGATGGAATCCTCTCATTGCAGTGCAATTAAGCGGAACCACGACCACCGCACAGATTGGCTGACAACACACATTCCCTAAGACCAGCGATAGAAATTTTGACAAGCCTTGTCCAATCAACAGGCTTTATTTGGGATTCAGTTTTTTAAATTTGTTCTATTAGGAGGAAATATAATCAGCCACCAGCTTAGCCCTCAGCAAGAGGGGACAGAGATGTTTCTCCGCTTTTGCACGCTATAAAGTGAATCTACAAGTAGTAGTTGGTGGAGGGAAAATGGGCCTGCACGGAGAAGGCTCCCACCACGAAGGCATGGCCAAGCCGGGTTGCACGCAAAGAATACACACAATACCCGGTGATTTACACAAACAGCCCCCAGGACCACCATTTTTGTGGTCCCCACGGCAAACGAGTGGGATTCTCCCGGCAGTTCTGCAGCAACAGCTAGTTCAACAAAGCTCTATGAAAAGGAAAAGAAGAAAACTCCTCGTACCTTCTCCTGCCAGCCGCGGCCCCAGCCCTCCCGTGGCCACGGCCACGAGCGCCTATCCCCTGACAGCCCGAAGGACCCCCGCATCGCGGGTTCCGAGCCGCACAGCTCGACCTGGACCCGGGTTCCCGCGTCCCCGGCGGCCTTACGGCGCCCCCGAGGGCTGAGACGGCCCGGGCAGGGGGAGGGGCGGCCCGGGTCCGCAGGCCCCCGGGGCGGCCGCACGCCCCCTCCCGGCCCCGCAGCTTTCCCGCCTTCCCCGTTTGAACAGCTCCCGCCCGCCCTCCTCCTTCTGCCCGCTCCAGCCCCTTCCTGGGGGCGGCTGCGGCCGCTACTCCAGTCCCCGGCTCGGCCCCTGGGGTAGGCCGCGACGGGCCTGGGGCACCCCAGAGGTGGTGTCGCGGGCCCAGGGCGGCAGGTGGCGGCGGGGCGGGGCTGCTGCCCCCTCAGGGTGGGGGTCCAGCCCGGTCTCCTGGGGTCTCCGCTCGCCGCTACCTTCACTCGGCTCGCCCGGATCCCGCCTCAGCGCCGCCGATCGCCGCCATCTTGGAGAAGGAGAGAAAAGCGCGAGCGGCCAGGGAGCCTCAGTCGAGCCCAGAGCGCAGACTCGGGCTCCGGAGGGGGAATCCCGCTCGACCAAGAGCGCCGAGCGCATCGAATAAAACTCGGAGCTTGCTGAGCGCGGGAGCTGGCATTTATTTATTGAGAATTTGCTACGTTCCCAGCCTTGCGCTAGAAGCTTACAAACATTATTTCACTTGATCCTCACTGCATTCCTGTCGCATTTTGCAGAAGAGAACCAGGCTGGGAGAAGTGACGTGCCCAAGGATACACAGGTAGTTGGAATATGAGACCGAGTATTACTCCAAGTCTTCTGATTCTGAATGCAGTGCTTTCCCCAAAATACTATGCTGTTTTCTTTCAAGATATTTTTATACAGCAGTTCTCCTCTTTGCAAAACCTAGATCTATGCAGATTAATAGCAGCGTGCTTATTTAGACTTCAGCATCTACATTTGAACATTTGGCATATTAGGGGTGAGGTGGAAGAACTTATCTTTGTGACAATGTACAGTAAAATAATTTTCATGGCGAATCATCTACACTTTTTAGTTAGAAACAGTCTTCAGAGAGAGAGGAAGAGATGTCATTTACAGGCGAGAAACAAGTTTTCTGATTTGCCGTGGAGAACTTGGACCAATGAGTAGAAATTACAGTGTATAGAACTTGGTTTAATATGAAGAAGAACGCCAGGGGCGGTGGCTCACGCCTGTAATCCCAGCACTTTGGGAGGCTGAGGTGGGTGGATCACCTGAGGTCAGGAGTTCGAGACCAGCCTGGCCAATATGGTGAAACCCTGTCTGTACTAAAAATACAAAAAATTAGCCGAGCATGGTGGTGCATGGCACATGTCTGTAATCCCAGCTACTCGGGAGGCTGAGGCAGGAGAATCACGTGAACCCGGCAGGCGGAGGTTGCAGTGAGCCAAGATCGCACCACTGCACTCCAGCCTGGGGGACACAGCGAGACTCCATCTCAAAAAAAAAAAAAAAAAATATATATATATATATGAATAACTTATTTTTCTTGTACAGTTCAATAGTACAATGGGCTTCCTTGTGAGAAGTGAGCTCCCTCTCACTGGAGGAGCGCTCAAGCAAAAGCTGGTGTTACTGTAAAGCAGAGAGATTAGAGATGTAGACTGGCTTCTAGAGTTGTCAACCCCATGCAACGTAAAATCATGTGCGCAATGTGTGTTTTCCTGGGACTCAGGCCCCATCAAAAATTAAGAACCCCTGTCCTAGCAGATTTTCCATTGCAGAGTTGGGTGAGTGCTTGAAGACGAGGTAGTCATGAGACCAACAGAAGCAAGGTGATTTGTCTAAGACCACACTGCTCATCAGTGATCAGATAAAGATGAAAAGCCAGATCGTTGGACTCTTGGTTCAGTGCTCTTTTTGCTCTATCATGCTCTCTCCCCCTGTGCACTGAGTACAAGATTGATTCTGTTCCTTACAACTGTGAGGTGCTGCGATGTTAAAACACCTGAGATAAAGTTGCTGAAATCATTTGCAAAATGTAACCGCACATACTTAATAAAAGTAGAATGGCCTTTTTCTCCGCAGCTCCTATCCTACTCACCAAAAAGACAGGCAATGAATTTCACCAAAAGGTGTTAGATTGCATTGCTGGGACACCTTGCCTGATGTTAGGCTTTCCTCTGAGGCATTTAAGAGCCCTAATGATGTATTTCCTTTTTGTTCTTCAGAGCCCTAAATCCATTGGTCAGGATGATTTCAGTTGTGACAGAAAGCCATTTCCATGTGGTTCCCCAGAAGAAAATGTATTGGCTCACATGATTGAAATTTCCAGTATCTGCAGACAGGGTTACATCCAGGGAGATAACTCAGGCTGGTCCCTTGACATCTCTGTGGTGCTCTCCTCTGAGTTAGCTTTATTCTCAGATTCAGGTGATGACTCCAGCAGCTCCAAGCTTCATCATCTTTCCTGCTAGCAGTGTCCCTGTGGAGGGAGGTTTTGTTTGTTTGTTTGTTTTGAGACAGGGTCTTGCCCTGTCACCCAGGCTGGAGTGCAGTGGCACGATCACAGCTTACTGCAGCCTCGACCTCCTGGGTTCAAGCAATCCTCCCACCTCAGCCCCCGCAAGTAGCTGGGACCACAGGTGCATGCCACCATGCCCAGGTAATTTTTGTATTTTTTGTAGAGTTTTTTTTTTTTTTTTTTTACCATATTGCCCAGGCTGGTCTCAAGCTCCTAGACTCAAGCAATCCACCTGCCTTGGCCTCCCAGAGTGCTGGGATTACAGGTGTGAGCCACCATGCCTGGCCCTGGAAGGGGTTTCGTTTTCCCTTTTGTTTTGGCAAAAGCAATGGGATTGATTCTTCTTGCCTGAATTGGATCATGTGCCCAGACAAAAAGCAATCACTGTGAGCAAAGGTGTGGGGTCTGCTGATTGGCCAAATGAGGTCACCTGCTTACCTCCAAAAGTAGGTCGGGGTAGACACCAGGAAAATCAGGGGTTGCTGTCAGAAGAGTAAGTGCATGTTAAGTAGGCAAACATAGTAGCTGTCCACGCAATGTACCACTAGCTTGGACCTAAAAGTGTAATGAGCCCTATTGGTCCCATTTCTTCTTTTAGTCCACCTGAAGATGGAGCATATCAAGTTCTTGCTCATTTTAAGCTCCTGGAGACCTGAAGTCAGATCTCTCCTCAGCCTACTCTCTCAATCACAAAATGCTATTAACTTGTTCCCAGTCTTGGATCATTGCACGTCCATTTATTAAACAGATATTTGTCGAAAACACAGCATGTGGTGGGTGCTGTCTTAGGTGTTGGGAACAGAACAGTGAAGAGAATTGAGAGCCCCTGTTCCCCGGGAGCTTACATTCCGGTTGGGTTGGGGCACACAAAATTAAGATATGAATACTATATTCAGTGATAATCAGAGGTGGAGAAAATAATGCCAGGTTGGCTAAGAGAGTACCAGCAGGGGATGAAGGTAGGAACAGCTTGTTCTTTAAAATAGTAATCAGGGAGGCTTCTCTGTTAAGGTGCACACCGGAGCTAGCTCAGCTAGAAGTGGGTTGGTGGTGGGAGCCAGGAGGTCATAGTTACTTGAATGGATTCAAGTGCTTCCTCTGTACCTTGATGGAAAAGTATTCCTTGTTGAATATCTTTTCACAGTTCTCTTGCATGTTTGAAACTTGGAAAGAGAGAAAGGAGGACTCCCTGGGCAGGCCTAGTCATGGTGGGGTTTGTGAGTAAGAATGCCTTTTCCCATGGCAAGTGAGGATGGCATCTAGGATATGTGAAGAGGGGGCACTCCCTAAGGGTGGGGCTGTTCTCTGGTCCACCTGACCTAAGGAAAACTGCCCGGTGCATGGCAGCAACAGGTGGGGCCTATCAAATTGTGCTTCGTTTGGGCATCTCCCTCAGACTGTTTTTCTGTGCTCTTTTCTTTCCAGATGTATTTTGAGCAGCTTCTTTGTATTAGGTCTGATGGGAGGATGCCATCCTGGGTACATACATTAGGCCAGGGCCTTTTGCCAGAAGTGACAGGACCTAATTAAAACTACCTGAAGAGACAGGGAGAGGGACATACCACAGATACTCAGTCTGTGTGTGTGCCCTAAATTGCAAAATAAAAAAATAAAGAGACCAGTAGAAAATATGTAACTCATGTAAAAACCAAAACAAAGCAAAACAAAACAAAAACCCACTCAGAGCCAGAGAGAAGCAGGCCCTCTGGACAGCTGGGTCCGGGGATTCAAATCCTTCCCTCTTCCCTCTGTTCTCTCAGGCTGGCAGTTCTTAGGGGTCTGGAATCATGGCCACAGGTAGCTCAGGCTTACATCTTTATAGTCTCCTGACCAGAGAGGAAAGAACATGATCCCACATCAGCAACACACACACACACACACATACATACATGTGCACGCACTAAATCCAAGAGAAGAACTCCAATTGGCTGGGATGGGGTCATGTGATCATTCAGTATTGTGATAGACAGTTCCTGGCACACCGCAAAGTTGCAATAGGGCATTAGTCCTTCCACAAAGGAAAGGGGATCTATTCTGGGAAGACAAATAATAAATGTCCCCTATGGTGAAGCAATGATACTTGTTTTCCTGCTTTTGAACAACTTATTATCTTCTGTGTATGTGTTTTGTGGGCAATGTAAAACAAGTCCAAGTCCATAATTACCATGGTACAAATGTAAAAGCAGGATGTGCCCCAGTAGATGGGCCATCTCTCATTGGGCTATTACAATAGCTTCCTAACTGATTTTTATCTTCAGGGCCCCCTCCCCACTTCCAAGTCCATCTGCCATTGCCATCAGGATAAAGCACTGCTAACATGAGCTTATACTCCAGTTAATGACTTTTTTCTTTCTCTTTTTTTTTTTTTTTTTTTTTTGAGACGGAGTTTTGCTCTTGTCACCCAGGCAGGAGTGCAGTGGCGTGATCTCAGCTCACTGCAACCTCCGCCTCTTGGATTCAAGCGATTCTCCTGCCTCAGCCTCCCGAGTAGCTGGGATCACAGGTATGTGCCACCACACCCAACTAATTTTTGTGTTTTTAGTAGAGACGGGGTTTCACCATGTTGGCCAGCTGGTCTCGAACTCCTGGCCTCAGGTGATCTGCCTGCTTCAGCCTCCCAAGCTGGGATTACAGGTGAGTGCCACCATGCCAGCTAATTTTTGTATTTTTAGTAGAGACGGGGTTTCTCCATGTTGGTCAGGCTGGTCTCGAACTCTTGACCTCATGATCCACCTGCCTTGGCCTCCCAAAGTGCTGGGATTACAGGCGTGAGCCACCATGCCTGGCCACATTTTCTTGTCTCTAATGGTTCCCCCACACTCCACCACCTTTGCCAGCTCATGCATCTAGCTAGCACCATGCACCTAGAAAGCGCCTATTTATTCTTCAAGATCTAACTTGATACTGACAGATAAATAGACAAATGTGCCATATACATACAGTAGGATATTACTCAGTCTTAAAAAGAGGGAAATCCTGCCATCTGTGACAACATGGAAGGACATTATTCGAAGTCAAACAAGCCCATCACAGAAGGACAAATACTGCATGATCCTACTTCTATGAGGTCTCTGTAATAGTCAAGCTCATAGAAACAGAGAATTCAATAGTTGCCAGGAGCTGGAGCATGGGGGAAATGGAAAGTTGTCCAGTGGGTATAAGGTTTCGGTTATGCAAGATGCCTACATTCTAGAGACCAGCTATACAACATAGTGTGCACAGTTAGCAATATAGCTTGTGAACTTCAAAATATAAGATGGTAGGTCTCATGTTAAGTGTTTTTTGTTTGTTTGTTTGTTTTTGAGGCAGAGTCTCTCTCGGCTGCCTAGGTTGGAGTGCAGTGACACGATCTCGGCTTACTGCAGCCTCCACCTCCTGGGCTCAAATGATTGTCCTGCCTTAGCCTCCCAAGTAGCTGGGATTACAGGCATGCACCACCATGCCCGGCTATTTTTTTGTATTTTTAATAGAGTTGGGGTTTCACCATGTTGGCCAGGCTGGTCTCTAACTCCTGACCTCAGGTGATCCACCCTCCTTGGCTTACTGAAGTGCTAGGATTACAGGAATGAGCCACTGCACCTGGCCAAAACTACCATGTTAAGTGTTTTTTTAACCACCAAAACCAAGCCAAACCAAAACACCAAAAACAAAAACAAAGGGATCCAGGGAAACTTTGGGAGGTGGTGGACATGTCTATTACCTTGATTTTGATGATGG